CGAGTTGTCTGTTTTCTAGTTTACCAAAGTGCTGGCCTTTTAAAATTATATATATAAAAAAAATCCTATATATAAATCACAGACGCAGACGTGACGTTATAAGACAGACGCAAGTGTCAGGTTCATTGAGACGAGTGCATGTTGCAAAGTCATATTAAAGAACCGATCGCAACCGCTGGCACACTGCACTGAGCTGTGCTGAGTAGAGTGTTAAACCCGTGTTAGAGAAAAAAACAATTTATAACTTCACTGCTACACGTGAATGACACGTAAACGTCTGACAATACACTTCACTGCCACACGTGATTTACGTGACGTCTGCGTCACGTCTGCGTGACGTCTGCGTCACGTCTGCGTCTTAAATTGAATGGAATAAATAGCAGAATAAAAAAAAAATTAAGACGTTGAGTGAGACGTTCATTGTAACGAGTGCATGTTGCAAAGTTATATTAAAGAGCCGATCGGAACGCCATAGACCTGGACGCTCGGGACCAATGCTGAGAAACGCGTGGAGTGGACGAGGTCAGGGACAGCGGGTTAAGGCCAATTTATACTTCTGCGTCGGGTGCGCGCAGTAGGTACGGCGTAGCATACGCACAGACGCGTACCATACGCCGTACCCTTCGCCGTAACCTGACGCGCACCTCCTCAAAAATGTAACTACACGTCGCGACGACGCGGACCGCAAGATCTGTGATTGGTCGGCTTGGTAGCATCGCGTTTCCTCCTATGCATTTCCGGCGTGTTCTTCTGCACCGCCCGCCATTTTTAAATTCTAAGTACAGCGAAACTGTTAAAAAAAACAAAAAATTTACCTTTTCCACCTCGATAAGCTCCAACTCCAACATGATCTGCTCTCTTTCAGTCGCCATTGCTTGTAGTAACCTAAACTCAAAACAGCCGCGAGGAATCTTCTTCTTCTTGCCGCGAGGAATCTAAACACAGTGGAACATTAAAACCCTCCGCCGCCAACTAGCGTTTCGGCGCTGTACTGCAGAGCAACGCAGACCTAAACGCAGAAGTATAAATGCTCATGACGGCGTCGCCTACGTGCGTAGCCCACGCCGTACACTACGGCGTACACTCGACGCAGAAGTATAAATTGGCCTTTACTAACGTTAATCACTGATCCGTGTGCATCAGCGCGTGATGTTTCAAGAGCTAAACGCCGGTCTCTCAGCTCAGCTTGTCTCTCTAAAAGGTCACGGATCTGCTTTTCTACAGCCTCTAATTCAGACTGCACCGCGAGCAAATCAGATTTGTTCTCATCTGCACCAAAAGGTAAATAACATAGATCTGATATATTCGCCATTTTAACAGATGGACAGTAAGTTAGCAATGATGCAACCAGTGATGCTATTAATATTTATACTAATTTATGACTCAAGTCTTGGGTATAATCCGTCTTTTTAGTGGTACGGGTGTAATGTAGACGCACGATAGACGGGAAAATGTTCGTTTGTAAGTGAGTGTAAAGAACGCGTTTGGCAATCGATCGTAGGGCGAGCAGCAGTGAAGCGGTGTCTCGCTCTACAACCAACAACCAAATGTTCCAACCGTATTTGCGGTTCTAGCCATATATTGGCTTGAGACGCGTCTGGCCAACAGTCCGAGTTGTAATTATGAGTTAAATGATGGTTCAGAATAGAATAAAAGAAAGAAATACGGAAAAACAGAAGGAAATACGAAGCTAATACGAGGCTTAGACAGCCACGACGCAAACAAACAAACTCACAGCAGGCAGCGAGGCAGACAGAAGCAATCGAGCAATCGGAGTGTTACAATGCATGTTCTAGAACGATTTACCGTGATTTACTATGTTCTATTATGATTTACTATGATATACCACGTTCTAGTATGATTTACCATGATTGACCATGTTTCTAGTATGATTTACCACGTTTTACCACGTTTTAGCATGATTTACCATCATTGTAGTATGATTTACTACGATTTACCACGTTCTAGAATGATTTAGTCAAAAGAGCCAACCCCATCTCTATATGATGTTCTAGGGCTGGCCGGGCGATATGGACAAAAAATAATATCTCTGTATTTTTTGGTTAAATGGCGATATATACCTCTGTACTTTCTACGTTTTTCTATTTGGATAAAGAAAATCTGTATTTATTTTTAAAAAAATTATTTCACATTCTGCCCAATAATATCCTACAAACAATGTTGATATTGAAGGATATGGAAACAAATATAGGCCTAGTGAATGTAATGTAGGCTATGCAATATATGATGTGCAAAAAGGTGGTTAAAATCACATTACATTCTAACATTGTAACATTACAATCTAAAAACAAAAATAATGCTTTTGTTTTTAAATTGACTTAAGGCTAAACTAAAAATGAAAATAAAAACACAAACAAAAGCACAAACTATATTAGCCTGCATTTGATTACCCCATTATAATGGGCACTTAAAATGTATACTTGTAGCCTACGATTAAAATTCCACACATGGCACATTTATTGTCTCCAACAACAAATATTTGAGCAATATGTATTTTAGTCAGAATTATTGCGCTACTATTGTGCTCCGTCTATTTGGCGCGCATGCGCCCGGCCGCGCTCGTTCACAGACGCTTGAATATCAGCGCAGATTCACTTGCAGAAGCTCGTCCTCTCCTCTCCTGACAGTGAAATGGACATATTTGTTTGACTAACATTAACATATGGAGAATATATCTGTGAAATGTAAGTTAAACACAGAGGAAAGCGCCACATCTCAAACGCATTAAACAGCGCCAGTGTTTATCTGTCAGTCAACAACAGTAGTCAGAGCATCTGACAGGGCAAGCTACTTTAAACTTGTTAACTATATCTTACCAGTTATTTTGAAGCCCTTAATATAAGCTTGTGTCATGTTTAGGACAAATAGTAGGCTACTAACGTTACTTTCACTGCAGCCAGCAGATCACACTGCGTCCTCGCTATTTTTCAGATGTGCTCGTATCAAATTACTGTATCGATATAAACGGTATTGCCTCATTCCATATCGTTGCAAAAAAAAAAATCGATATATCGCACAAACTCGATATACCGCCCAGCCCTATGATGTTCTGATGCAGAGATATTGGTCTTGCAAAATGGTTGCTAGGGTACTCTGTTTGGTTGTTAGGGAGTGGCTTGGCAGCTACAAGCAAACTACAAAGGCTGCTTGTCAGTATGAATGATATAAACCAACTCCCATGCCTCTGTGACATTCAGAATGGAAGATATTCCTCTTTGGATTTTGGTTGCTAAGGTGCACGACAATGGTTTCTAGGGAAGGGCTAGGATGTGTTGAGGTGAATCATGATTGGCTGTTTGCTGCCCTGAGTCAAACGAGACCACCCTCGTGTTTCTATGACAATTCAGTCCGGAGATATCCCTTTGATCTCTTTCAATGGAAGTCTATGGAAGTTGTTGCTAAGTTGCTCTGAATGGTTGCTAGGGCATGGCTTGAAAGCTTCAATGATCCTGAGAGACTGATTGGTCGTCTGAGTAAAATGAGCCCACCCCGTTGTCTCTATGACACTGTGATCCAGAGCTATATTCAATACAAAATCCCTATGCAATTTACCACATGCTATCTAACACATATGAGGCCCTATCTTGCACCCAGCGCAAGTGACTTTGTACAGCGACGCATGTATTATTCCTATTTTGCACCCGCGCACAGCGGACTTTTCCCTCCACAGACGCACGTCGGTAAATTAGGGAATGAACTTGCGCTCGCGGGGGCGGTTCAGCGCAAAGAGGAGGCGTGTTCCGGCGCAAATCTTCCCTGGTGCTATTTTCCAGTTTTAGAAAGCAATTGCGCCACTGACCAGGAAAAAAACAGTCTAAAGACAGTGGCGCGTTGCGCGTTAGTGATATGGTATTTTAAGGGCGCGTGCTTGGCCATAATGTAGCGTGTTAACGCGCATCCACTTTGATTCTCTAATAATTATAAACAGACGCAGCAGTTTTCATTTTTGCAAATCATACATTATTACAAGGAAAAATATTAAATCATTGTTGTGTCCGTGAAGATGTGAAAAAGATCTATCTAGATTTTTTTTTTTTTTCTAGATTAGGCTACAAATTTACCCAAATGATACGCCTGTTTAACCGAAGCTAATTTGTGTGGTTTCTCCCATCCCCATACAATGTCACTTCTCTGTGTTTTACGACCCTGACGAGAACGTCGGTCTCCTCGGCTGTGAACCGCTCCTGGCGTGCGCTGGCAAATCCGCCGTTATAATAGCGATCCGCCATGGAACAAGCGCGCCTGCTCTTAAAGGGAATGTGAGAGGACACTCTGATTGGTTTATTTCACGTTACGCCCAAACCACACCTATGAATAATGAAGCTACTTCAGACCAACCCCTTTTAGATTTGCGCCAGGCGCAAGAGGCATTTATCCCGCCGGGAAAATAGCAACAGCGCCGGGATCCGCCCACAAAGTTACTTGCGCTTTGCGCTTTGACACTTGCGTTTCAGATCGTTAAAATAGGGCCCATGGTGTGGGATGGCCAATGTAAATCAATGGGAAAATTTGGGCAGCTCCTGCCCCCCAGAGGTACAACTTTTACCCCATTGTGAGGTATGTTCTTACAGAGCCTGTCCGCCTTTGGCAAGCACCCACTAATTATAAATACATTATCTGACAAGTATAGCTATAATACTTGAATGAATTAAACTATATGAATTATATGAACTATAATGTAATTTCTTTAGATTCGGAAATGGATTGTTAAGAAAAAAAAAGACCATACATGTTTCCTTATATTATTCAGTTTGGAAAAGTTAAAATTTTGTCAAATAACCCCTGTGTAAAGTTATCCAGTTGTAATATATTGATTTTGTATTAAAAACAATCATAAATCACTGAAGACAACCACATTGTGCAGACACAACACCACCAAAACAACAGACATTTTGAGTGTTTCTTCTCCGTCAATGAACACACATGTTAGAGATCTTTATAATGCAGTGAAGATGAGACAGGAGTCTTGCAGCACTCACCTGTTTTATCACGGACAGCTAAGTCATTGTTCTGAGCATTATTTCTGCAGACTGTGTCCACCAGAGCTTTCAGCTGCTGCAGAAGGGTCTGATCTTTGTTCCAGTTCTCTGCCTGCTTCACTCCTTCCTCAGTGTACCCCACATACTTCCCCACAGTGCTGTTGTACTGTACATCCAAACCTTTATTGAAGGAATATGAGTGAAGAAACACCATATCACTGTAATCACTGGTGCTGTGGACGCATTCACTCATCTGGACTTGATAATATCCATCAACTGAAACATAAAAAAACAGAGTGGTAGATCTTCAGTTTTTGATAATATCAGTTATAAATACAAAAGTACCAGTATTCATTGGCTATTTGCTATCACTTTGTTTTGGTGTAGTTACTGTGTGTTATAGATCCAATCCCATTAAAATACACCCCAACTACTGGCTCATCTCACTCATATATTCTGGAATATTCAAGATCAGCAAGGCAACTGAATTAACAGCAATAACATTAACTCAAATATCAAATATAAAAACTCATTACATTAAAATGTATAAATCACAAAAAAAAATGTTTTGCTCAATGTTTCATTGTACTTGCCTGCTCCAATAAATGCAGACAGCATCAATATGGGAGGAAAAGTCAAGAGTTTTAGCAGTGACATATTTACAGTCTATGAATATGCCAAATGAATAACTTTCTCTCAGTGCTTGTTCTTTTGGTAGATGTCTAAATAATCTGGCAAATCAGCTTCTCAGTGGTGGGCCGTCAGGGCCAGCAAGGCCTTCTCTGCTGGCCTAAACACTATCAGAATCACTGACTTGCACTTTAATATACAGTATTTTTTCCATGAATGAGTATTAAATTATTCCCAATAGTTCATTCTCTTAATTTCATAGCTTTTCTCTTGGTTGCGCTGCTTCCAGTAGTGTATATTTATTTTAGCGCTTTTATCCAATCATATTTCAGCCATCATGCGTTGCCTGGGTCAAAGAAATCTGCCTTCAGGCCTTCAGAATCGACAGTGCGGGCGCCTGTAGCTTACAATGAATGGCAATGAAACCGTTGCTTTAACCAATCAGATAAGCAGTCAGATTTAATCAGCCAATCAGATTGCGCTTTGACTGCAGCGGGGCCATCTAGCAAGCGTACAATAACGTCGGCATTTTATTACTGGTAGTCAGTAGGCTATCCGCATCTGTAGCGAACTGCAAACTAAAATATATTCCTGTAGATTTAATAGTTTTTCAACCCACAAATTAATGTTTCTTTCCCTCCTCGACCCCCAGCAGGTTCAAACCTACCGGTAAAAATCCCTTATTCAGCCTGAGCTTAACGCAGAGTCACGGAAGTCTATTCGATATGTCCGGGTAAAAACTGACTAATGTAAGTTATGCCACGAATGATTTTGAAGGCAAAAGTCCCGCTGATCTCATTGCTTTCGTTCAAAACTCTGTGTGAGAGCATGGGACAGCGGTACACATCGTCAGGTTATGCGGTGACTGTGTCCACTGCTTCTGTCGAGCAGACACTCTCTAAAGCGAATTAAAACTTATGCTAGAAATATGACGGGGCTCGACTTTCAGCATTATTGTTGGAACTGAAACGCACAGATAACCTGTACAACAGAGTAATTTAAGTCTTCTTGAGGAAAGAAATAAGGATGGATTTTGTGTAAAAAATAATCAGTAGTTTTGGTGAGTATAATGCTTTTTTTCCCGTGGTGAATATGATTTTCTTCTTAATTTTTCTTTTAAATTTATGATCAAAGCTTAATTTTTTTTCAAACATCCATACTATTGTAACGTCTGAAAAGGGACTATTGTAACCCTTGAACGACAAGATAAGGGAGGCTCCGTTTCTGAACTTATAATCGGAACGCAAGAACAACTGTACACAAACGCACCAGCCGAACTCACGCGCTCGTTTCTCTCTAGCGGCCTTTTACAAACTCACCGCATTAACCCAATAACTGCCGGTGCAAAATAAAAACAACAATTATAGAGAGTCTTTGCGCTGCTACACTATTAAAAGTTATTAATTCAGGTAGGACAGAAGGCCTAGGTGTGAAATGCACGGCCCGCCACTGGCTTCTACTCACATAAATGTCAAGTGTTGTTAGGTGGAAAACTGCTTTCATTTTCCTATTTTCATTGGACAAGTACTGCATAAAATATATGTGTAGATAGCCATAACTACGGAAGCGTATTGCATTCACTTGAGGAAAAAAAAATCTACTCTGTTAATTATCGAGTTAATTATCTCAGAATTACGAGATAATTTTTAATGAATAAAAAGGTTTTGCTCGGTTTTTCTGAATTATCGAGTTAATTATCTCAGAATTACGAGATAATTTTTAATGAATAAAAAGGTTTTGCTCTGTTTTTCTGAATAATGACTTAATTATCTCAATTATGCAAAAACTTTTTTTTCATGAAAAATTATCTCGTAATTCTGAGATAATTAACTCGTTAATTCAGAAAAACAGAGTAGTATAGATTTTTTTTCCTCAAGTGAATGCAATACGCTTCCGTACAATGTACTTAAAAATGTACAAATAATTTATATTTATTTTATCTGTGTAAAAAAGGAACACTTTTACTTGTCTTTATCTGTATCTTTATTTGTTTGACCTTCATTGCAAAAGTTTGATTTCAGTAGGCTCTGCTCATGGAGGACTAGATCTTAGAAAATATACAACAGTTATACGGTATAACTGTTGTATATTTTCTAAGACCTATCTAGTCCTCCATGAGCAGAGCCTACTGAAATCAAACTTTTGCAATGAAGGTCAAACTTATAACTTATAACTTATACCACAAATATATGAATTATATATTGTATCATTTAATTTATTTATGCCTGGTTTACAAAACAATCTACAGTGAAACGCTCCAAACTAACATTTTTATAAATAATTTATAATGTATAATTATAATAATATAATATTAAATTATATATATAAAATAATATGTAATATATATATATATATATATATATATATATATATATATATATTTAATTATTATATATATAATATAAATTATATATATAATAATATATAATTTATAATAATTCTCTTTGAGAATCCTTAAAAATAAACCATCCACTTCTTAGTACTGCTGAGTCCTTCGCATGTTTGGCAGTAAACACAATAGTTAATAACTACAACAACTGTCTCCTTGAAGTGTCCAAATGGCTGTCAAAAGTGTCCAGGTATACTACTATCTCTTCAGGGAAAGTGTATGTTTTCCAATGCTGTAAATGACCCTATTTCTTATGTTGTTTACATTTGCTTTTTGCAGTTCACTTACAGTGTTTCTCAAATATGTGATAATTTTTTGTTCAAATTATTGTCAATGCTCATGAAAAAACAATGAACATATCCATTTAAATGCTTTGTAATATTATAAAAACACAGTGCAACAAAATGTATCAGATATTTTTACAATATTTAATAAGGCCAACCAATAACCACCTGCAGAGATCAGTGATGCTTGTGATAGACAGGGAGGACACTGACATTTGGAAACTGGCATTTTTCCAGAATCACAGCAGTGTGAATGTAGATAGTGGAAAGAGCAAAAGATCACGCTATCTGCATTAATCCTCTTCTCTAGCTTGCTTTCTAGTATCTATAAACATGCCATTGTATTACGAATATTAACAAAGCTATATTGTTTTCTTTTAATGTTTTGTTTTGTTACTTTGGAGTTGGATGGCTGCGCAAGACATAAATACTTCTATATCTATGAAGCTGGCTCCAAAAACAAAGAGGAAGAAGAAGAAGAGGGCCATATACACACAGAAAGACTCATACATTTTAAAACTTCTCAATAAAACCCATTTCCACAGGATGATCAGGAGCAAATTTAGTGAATCTTCATCAGTGGTTTGCATCAAATGTTTAATCAGCTTTTTAATTGTTTCAATAACTTTGGACCATTGTTTGAAGAAATAAAATCGGTCAAGAAAAACTAAATAGTCCTGCACTGTGGCAAATGTTTGTTTTTTAAGGGCTACAAATATTACTGTAAGTCTCTGAAACAATATGAGCTCATAAAACTGTGTATAATAATTATACAAGAATTGAACAGATTTAAGGTTTCTTAATTGCCATGGTTTAATTTTCACAAAGGAGTAGGCTAAACTTTGTCTTCAAAAGAAAATCTTACAAAAACAAAACCTGACCATACACAGCAAATCATTCATTTAAAACATGCAAAACATACATTTGTTTGTTTGTTTGTTTGTTTTCCTTTCATATAATCATTGCTTTAAAAGCCTTATACATGTGTGACATGTAATGAGAACATTTAATTTACAGTAATAACCAAAATACAACAAAATGATTGTCTTTCATTTTAGTTATTTCAAAGATTTGGTTATTCAGTATCAAACATTTTGCACGAAACATGTTTCAATTTTAGAGATACTGTTTGAGTACTGTTAATGCAAGTACTGTTAAAGTACTCATCACCTAACCAAATTGACATAATCAAATTACTGTAAAGGCAGTAAAAATAGTACTAAAAGCAAAAAAAAAAACAAAAAAAAAACGATTTTAGTTTGAAGATAAACAAAACTTATCATAACACAAAACCAAACACGGAAAGAAATTGTAGGATTGCCAGAAGGATTTATTAGTTGCCAAAATATAAAATAAGTAAAAACAAACCAATCAAATTGTGTGTGTGTGTGTGTGTGTGACGTGTGTGTGTGAGTGTGTGTGTGTGTGTGTGTACAGGTTTCTTATACTTGTAAGGGCCAAGTGTCCTCACTAACATAATGCAAAGTCAAACTGTTTTACATTTTATGTGTCCTCACTAAAAAGGCCAATAAATGGTTCAGATGATGTTACTCTTTAAATCTAATAATGTGCACAGGTTTTTTTTTAGGGTTAACTTTAGGTTTGGAGATATTATTCACCTGATATAAAAACAATGGAAGTCTATAAAATGTCCTCAGTAATATAGTTTCTAAGGTCTGTGTGTGTGTGTGTCTAGGATTTTTGGGGGTATTTTCTGTATTTTGTATTTTCAAAACTATCATTATCATTTTCAGAGTCACTGTGACATATAGCACAGCAAGGCATGGGCAACCTGTATCTCTGTATAACTGTTCCAATAAAGGCAAAAATGCCAGAAAAAAATATTATAATAAAAAACTATCATCATCATCTATTACAAATAATTTGGCAAATAAACTTCCAGTAAGCGTTTAAGACAAATACATGTATAGAATTTGAATTAATGTTAAACAAAAGTTATAGGTAATTGTGCAGTAAATGAATATTGTTTGTCCTGAATATTGTTTGTTAAGAGTGTTTATTTTGTTTAATATCAGAGCCCTGTGTCTGTAG